TTTAAAAAGAAACCGCCTCCCGACCAATGCCCCAATCTCCGAGGGAAGTATAGAGGGGTCATTCTATCATTAAACCATGCAAATAGATTAAATATACGAACAAATAATCGTTAAAAATAGAATAAACAACATAACAAACAATAGCAAAAGCGAATCCATTACCTCAGAAACTGCATTATAGAGCTCCTGTGCAGTTCTACGAAGGAGGGTACTACCCATTGCATCAAACAACAAAAACCTTGCCTTGTAGTTAGTTGCATCAGAAACCTCCAGAACCAATCGGTACCTAAAACAAACAGTTATTCCAGGACAAATAATGAACAACCGAGCTCTAAAACTACACACACCAACATAGTATGACGGTATTAACATGCACAAGACGACATAAACAATGCATTCAAAAGACACGATCACCTGAACACTACCGCAGATACATCCTTGTCACAAATGCCGCAATAGTAAAGAGGTGGGTTTCCATCATCACCAGAATTTTCTGGATAAGGCTCGACACTCTTATTACACATCTTACACGAAACGTAATACCATTTCGACGTTCGCTCGACGGATCCAACAGTGACCATGGTCACACACATACCCTCCTATAGATTTCAGAGGTCAGACTTAAAATACCAACCAGTTCTAATTAACAAACAAATTTTTTTTTTACCCTTTAAAACGCATGAATATAAAGAACAATGGTCACACACATACCCTCCTCTAACGCCTCGACTATATCTCGGACAGTTCGTTTATGATTCTTCACCAAGAATTGATCACGTATCGATACAGTTGATCCAGCAAACAATTCACTATTATCATGATTAGTCAAGACCACGCCATCGGTTGGTAGCCTACAAAAAAAATTCTATATTAATATCTATACAGACATATACAATAACACAAAACATAATAAATAAACAATATTATGTCTATTACCCTGATCTGAACTCATCAACAAAAACGCCTGGAGGATCGAGTAATACACGTGTTGCGCCCATAGCATTAGATATAGTCCAATTACCTAAATAAGTTAACAATTAAAATTAGAACAGTCATCGGAATATTTGAAGTTTATTCGACCAACATATATACCTTTCCACTCCTTAACCTGAGCACACCTAATCACACAAACAACAGCCGCTGGATTTGCTTCAGTATAAACCTTAACTTGCTTAGCAAAATCCGCCCATAGAGTACATATCAACCGTACGTTCCTATTTACGTGATAAACACGTCAAAAAAACGAAGCATACAGAAAACCAAACTCTTATAATGACTAATCATAATTAACATACCCACGATCACGCAACTCGACGTCGAGCTTTGGAGTACTCTTTCCTCTGATTTTTATATCCTCTATCGGTCCAACGTTGACAATCTGACCAATAACATCTACAACAATACGTATCGTTATTTAGTTTGACAGCGATAAAGATAAACAAATATCAAACTAATTAAGATATTTTATTTAAACCAGACCTACCAACGAAAACACGCGTGTCTCGTGAACCATTTAAAACATCACCAAATTCCACAAAATACTTCTCAGGGACTTCCTTTGGAAAATCATCACATGGTTTGACCTGGGTTGTTCGGTAAAACAAAATCTTGAAAGAAAGACTGTTGCTCTTATAATCGCCAGAGTACTTGATGAGCTTGAAAGGATTTAAGGTAACGACATCACCTTCTTTCAGGACACTGTCGAACTTTTTGATATTTTTGTCTTCAACAGTTGCATGGATTCTTGAACCCTACTTAAAACCAAAAAGAGAATATGCTTAGCATACTTATACAATACAAAAACAAAGCAAACACATGATATAGAAGACATAATCTCAAATAATAATCAAATCATAACCTTTTCATCCACCAAAACCATCTCGATTGTATTGCCCGCATCTCTCTGATACGCCTTCCACAGCCTCAGGATTAACACCTTAATCTTATTCTGATCGTGAATAGGATTGATATCATCGATGAAAGTTAGTGAATTTTTGCTTTTTCTGCTTGACGACATTTTTTAACGCACAAAAGTATAATATCTTAATAGATTTCGTTAAAGTTGAAAGCGAGTAGTAGATCCTATATATAGCCATAAAATGTTTAGGATTTAACCGACCTTTTCGACTAATATAGAATAAAATTTAATAATTATGGATATTAACAAAATCGAATTAAGAGATAAATGTAAATCTTCGATATTAGCATATAAAATTTTCTGGAAATATTATAGCTTTACCAAATAGTTATTATAGATATTTTCGAATCGAATACGTAGATAAAAACCGCAATATTTACTTTTATCGTCTCGCTAAATCATAGATTAAGCATGTTTACATTTTTGTGACAAATCTATATTTTTATTTTCTGTAAACAAAGTCGATAAGAGTAAACTTTCAATGGAATCCAATTACAAAGATATTTATGTATTATGTTATTAATTTAAACTAACGAAGGTGTAAGTCCTCCTTCACTTTCCAGTTTTATATAACGCATACACTTTGAAGCCTATGACTAAAGAAAAGAATCCTTCAATATTGTTCGCAGCCTCAACGAAATGGTCAATTTAACATATATATAAAATATTATTTTAAGCCCCAACGAAATAACAAATTCGATGTAAATTTAAATGTACTCGCTGACGAACGTATCACCGTAAATATATGATCCATAATAAGAACGTAACTATAGAATAAAAAATAAACAAAACTAAGGGATAATTGTGATCCGCATAATAGAGGTATCGCTGAAACAACTCTGTTAAAACGTAACGGAAATTGAAACATAATAACTTTAACATCCACCACCGGAGACTATAAATCCTTCCTTCTTCTTCAAGATACCCAACTACATGTTTTTCTTGACCCTTCACAATAACACCGAAGCGTAGGAATTAACAATATTATAGTCCAGACACCCAACATCATAAATCTAATTATACGGAAAACTAAACTTACAATTCATCAAAGCATTCCACTCCATGGATATCTGGATTAATCTCAATACGCGTACAATCTGTAGCATGTATGGCCACATCACCTGCACTCGATCAAACTAACTATTTAACATGCATACATCTATAACAAACCCGACCATCTTATATACTAAGCAGGCAAAACAAACCTCCATAACAACGAATAAGTCCCCATCTTATAACACAAATAACAGCACCATCAGCTTGCTCTTTAAATGTGTCGTAGAAAGTCAAAGCGACTTTACCAAACAGGCGACATCTCAACATAGCATTCCTTCACACGTAAAAAAGTACATGTGTAAGGATATTAATTAGTATTTATCCTCTAACTATTATAAACATAATGAATGTACCGTCTGTCATGTAGATAGAAAGAAACTGTGCGATATATGCTATCATCCCCATCATAACCAAATTCCCCATACGTCTCTTCCTCTTCGTATTCCCCTTCTCCTTCATCGGCATCTACATCTTCTTCAACTTCTTCGTCTCCTTCGGTGTCTTCTTCTTCTTCTTCATCATCGTCCTCTTCGTCATCTTCACCAAATTCGGATCCTAGTCTTCCATGGCCTTGATCGTTTATTCCTCCTACTTCTTCGAGTAATTCTTTATAACCACCAGTAAGAGGACGAAAACGTTTTGTGGATGAAAATCCATACACATCCTCGTTACTACGCTTCAAGGAGCGAGTAGGTTCCTTATTTTCTACGACTAATCTACCCTCGTTGTATCTCTTCGACCTATCTAGTAAATAATCATAGTCTGGTATAACTTCATCAGATAAAGGGACGCCCTTATCATTAAAAACAACGGAACCCTCACGTAATTTCGTTCCATTGGTTTCAGCTTCGATATTAGAAGTTTGGACATCAACAACCTCTCCAATCAAGTCTTGCACAACGGAAATATGAAACGTCAATAAAACAGTGAATATAACAGATAACATGTTTAGATACAATTAGAACCACAAATCTTACCAACCAAAAAGTCGTCAGAATATCTTCGGTCCAAGATACTTCCAAAATCAACAAAATCAAAAAACTGATTGTTATCGATACCAGGTATCTTGACAATCGTAGTGTTTTTCAAAAGAATCATCTTATAGCGGTGCAAGGTTGCTCTGCAATCCCCAGTCTGATGAACAACTTTAAAGTCCTTAATCCGAAACCAACTACCGCTAACTATTACAGACACAAATTTATCGTAAACCTCTCCCCATAGAGAACACTGTAACTTGTTACCCTACAACGAACAAATCCATAAAATAAGATCCAAGAGCATTATCTTATAAAAAAATAAAACAGTATAATATAAACAAACCTCACGATCCGCGAGAACAAACTCTAAACGCCTGCCACTGTTTTCTAGACGCCGTGTCCACGAACAAAGAACCTTGGTTTCGACAACCCACTCGTACTTGGAAGGATTCAATCGCCAAACACTATCATATGTTTTGGAGGTAAACATGACGACGATTATAACACGAATAGACGCGTAAGGGACTATATATTTATATGCTATGAATGAAACCAAAAATACCTAATCCACGAATAACTCGAATATATACTTATATATGAATTTTATAAATAACTCGATAAGGTTTCCGGGGATTTTCTATTTAGGTCTAAATTTAACTAAATAAATATTGCTAACAACGCATATCGTTATTAATTTAATGATTATATATATATATATATATATATATATATATATATATATATACCTCATTAAGATTGTTCATTGCAAAAGCAATGCAAAAGCAATTCTAATCTCAATATCCCAAGAATAAACACCAGACACAGTATAATTTTTTTTAGCGACACTATACATTTTTTTTTTAATAGGATGTAGTTTTCGCTCGTGAGTAATCCAATATATAAATTAAATCTGTTTTATTTTAATAACGTATAAGATAAATATCCAAAATAAAATAATTTGTATGACCGATAGACCGAGACGATAACATAACGTAACAACAGCTATAAGGAGATAAACTAAAATATAGATCTATTGTCACGTTCAGTCTTTAATCTTCTGTTTTTTCGCAATCGGACCGTGCTTGATCGAGAAGCTACAAAAAGCAAACAAACAATCGAATAAAACATGTATCAGCAGGAAAAAAGCGATGCCCATCAGCATCTTAAGCAAATGAGTAAACCTCAAACAAATATATAACTTACACTGATTTCATTTTTTTTACATCCGGTATCGAAGGATTCAACAGCAGTTTCGAACAGCGCACCCCTGAGCATATCCACATGCCTACATATTAAATTGAAACCACACGTTAACCATGATTAATCAATGTTTATAAATTATTTCTTCTATGCTACGTACCTTCCCTAAACTCGACACGGACAAATCGCAGTACACATATGATAACATCGGACGGATCAGTCATCCACAAACGATAAAGAGGTAAAGCATCCGTAATGCTTAAAACACATCTCAAAACTCTTTCACTGCGTTATATAGTTTAAATAAATCAGATCGATAAATGATCAACTTCTTCTGTGTATCAAAGTGGCATAATGTACCTTGTATCCTGGAGATCAAAGACTATATGTTCCACCTGATCCTCATACACGTGACAACCAAAAGAGGTTATTTTACTAACGTTAATGGCCTTTCCGATGATATCTGCATGAATAAAAGCGTCGGTCGAAATACAAAAGCGTAACACTAATTTATAAAAAAAAAAGAATCAACTGATAAAAACCATACCAACACAAATGGACGTATCATGCGCCCCATTTAGGATTCTCCCAAAATCCACGAAATCATAGAAACCATCACCCGATCTCTCCTGCAGAGTATCGCATAATGTTTTTTTATGAAATACCAGCTCAAATCTATGAGCAACAGGCTTCAACGCATCCACGACAGGTCTCAAAATAAAATCTGTTATCACTATCCATCGGTTCTCAACGATTCTCGATGAAAACTGTGGCATAAGCTCCATAGGTATGATACCATGGATTTTCCCACCCTGAGATACGATATACACAACACATGATTACACTACGACTTATACATGCAAACTATATTAAAAACAACAATCCACAGAACATGAGTTATACCTTATCATCGACCAACACGACGTCAACCGTCGAATAATGATCGTAGTACTCTTGCCAAATAGCAAGAACCTTTGCGCGAATACGCCACTCGCTGGTATCAGGATTCAGCTTCGAAAGAGGATACGGCTCCATCCGTAAAAATACAAAATCCCTAATTCAAAGCAGAGCGAAGATATATTATAACTTGGATGATAAAAGAAAAGAAAACGATGCCAGTATTTATATACTTTTTCCGTGATATCTCCACCCGGAAATACATGCATATATATATCACAAACCGTGAATAAATGTTAACAAATATTATTAAAAACTTATTCGATTTTATCTCTAAACTTATTCGATTTTATCTCTATATAATAAGTTAAAGGTAGTTATCAATTAACATTCGTATTTTTACGAAATAAGGAATACGACTTTATCGCTACAGATTATTAAATATTTTATAAAATTATTAAATATTTTATAAACTAATATCCCGAAAGATGAAATCTAACTCTACGGTGTTATATAGATCTGTTTTTACATATGTGATTAGTTGACATTTTACAGAACCCTAAATGCATGGGCCGGAGCCCAATAACGAAATGATAATTTGCCATATCGTCGACGACAAATCGAAAGTATTATAGAAAATATACAAAACCGGTTAAGGTAGTCACCATTTTATAGTTACTAAAAAGGGAAATCAGGATGTGCGTACAGAAATCAACATGTGAGCTAGTTTACTATAAGAATACGACCATATTACTACATATTAATGTACTTATTGTTGATAAATATCCGGTTTATTTGTGAAATTGATATCTCAGCATTATAATGTATAGATTTTATACATGTGAAAAATTAACATTTTACTGAATCTTACGTTCATGGGCCAAAGCCCAACTACGGAATAACAGTTTGTGATTTGTCTAAACAATCCTAACGTATTTGGTGGCAAAATAAACCGAATAGAAAAAGGAAAAATAATAAACCTCCCACCAAAAAAAAAAACAAAGAGGAAAGTTATCTGATCGACATCCAACAAAGAGCAAGAACAAAATATAAAAGATAACAGTACGATTTCAAATCGTAAATCAGACAGAAAAAACCACATAGTTTCCTTCCAGTTCGCAGTTCCATAGAGTATTACAATTATATTAGCGCAAGTAATAGCACAGATGGATGACACGCTGTTTCGATAAACATCTACCAATTACGTTGAATTGGTATCCCCCAGTCAATCTCATATTCACTCTCCGAACCAGCCTTTTTTTTTATAAAACTGGCTTGTGAATTTTGCACTACACACAACAGAACAGCAAGAAAGTCAGAGTCAATAATGACGCTATAGTGATAAAGCCTAATTTTCATACAAGATTTACATTATGCAAATCCGATCGTTTTTAGCAAATTGGAAACAACAAAGATAGAAATTAAAAACAACAAACATTTAAGTTAAACAGGAGATCCAAAACTCATCCCCTTCAAGCACTTCTCCAGAACACATGAACTTCCTCTCAGGCTCTATACCGCGAAGAGCCTGTCGAAGCAGACGACCTACAACGGAAATAATAAATCAATTACCATACCTAAACAACTCCAAATGCTGAATTACCTAAAATTAACATCAAATTTCTTACTTTACTCGGAAATCAGCAACCTCAGGCATATCAGGATCAAGATCCAAACGACTGCATCTACCAACCGATTGGATAACCATATGTCCTGAATTAACACGTTACATCGAGCTTATTAAATTATCAGAATTGCACAGCTTAAAACATTTTACGGGAGCTATACAGACAAACGGCCGTTATAAATAAACAAAACATAAATTAGATACAAACCGGAAACTTTATAGACTCCCCACCAACGCAAAACACAAACAACCCGCGAACTCCTAGTCCTTTTCCACTCATCGTGAAAATGCTCAGCAAGATCTCCGATAGCAACACACGGCAGTACATAATTGCTACAACAAACAAATGTAAACATTAGCCCCCCTATACACGTAGCAATGATACGAATATAGGTGGAATTAATAAGTCTCACTTTGCGTCCTTAATTTTGAAAGACGTCATCGCATAACCAGCGCTTCGTTTACTTGGGTCAGAGTATTTTATGTCTTCGATATCAACCACATATCCAATCAAATCTAGTGGTAAAAAGAGAGAAGAAACATAAAAATTAAAAAGCAGAATACATGAACAAAATCAAAGAATATTATATATACTTACTTATCAGGTAAGTTCTTATGAGTTTATCATCCAAAACGTCAAGGAAAGAGGATGGATATAGTGTATAGTGAAGATCGTCTTTGTCAGGTATCAGATTCAAAATTGTCGAAGGGAGAAAATTGATCCGATAAGCATGACGTGTAGTTCTCATATCCCCAGTTACCAAATCTAATTCAAAATGGTGAAGAGATATCCAGTCACCATCTTTGAACTCGGAATCATACTCAGTAATGAGTTCGGAATTGATTTTAGCCTCAATCATAGAACCCTATGATAAAAACAGAACGCCAAATGTATATAAGAACATAACATCAACATACGATAAACATCGATAATCTTAAACAAATGCTATTACCCTTTTATCACACAAAATCATGCGTAAAGTTCGATAACCGGCTTCAGATCTCTCACGCCATTTGTTAAGAACCTTAACTTGGATAGACCAACAAAGCTTAATCGGTTTAAAATCGTCGACATGCTCATCCATTTTTTTTTTTTGTGACTGAGATTTTTTTCATGTGCTGCAAATATGAACCAAAAAATTCCCAATCATATAAAGACAAGAACGTTTTTTTTTTTAAATACATATTTTCAAATTAAAACGCAAGCACAATTACATTGTTTATTTATCGTTACAATGCATTGCATCGGAAAAACCACAAAAACTGATAAAAACATTATCGAGACACGCATAGATTTTGACCATGCATAGAAATACAAGACCGATCGAGTACCATCAATCCAAACCAACAGGGCATCTTTTAGCCTGTAAAGAATCAGACAATAATTTCCCATTGACCAATTCCACCACTACGGGGCACTTTGTTTTGTTCGCTTGAATAATTTAGACCATAATATTCTCCCTTGTGTAACAATGTCGGAAATTGGAGATAATATAAAATAAGATATATCAATATCCCATAGATTTGAAGATTAATATTTCATATCAAAGTAATGAGTAAAAAAATGTGTCAATATATATTCCGTATAATCCGATCAAAACAAAAATATACTATTTTTTAAATTATGCGCGTTTCACGGATATTGCATCTTATATATATTGTAGTTATCTAAAAGATAATATTCGGATGTAATTTTGAATGTCAAAATTTTTCCGAAGACACAACATTAAAACAATTAATTGGTATGTATATTTGACGCTAACTGGATATTTAGACAATAAGCACATATATATAAAATCGATTAAATAGTCAAGGAATAAGATGCAAACCGTGATATTTAAAAAAAACACAATTGTCGAATAACAGATATTTTTGAATCAGGAAAAAAAAAAAAAAAAAAACAAAACACCAACTAAGTATTATAAGAAATCAAGGGTTCAAAATAGTTTTCTCTCCACAGAAGCAAAAGCAAGACGCATCCTCGAAGCTTCATCACACGAAGGATTGAATAAAAGTTCTGTGCAGGTACACAGAGTAGTAGCCCTCATATCACCTAATATATCAATAGACAAATCATGACTAAACGAATAAACACGTACACAATGTATTAGTGTTTAAATAAGTACCTCGAGAAAGCTCTAGTCTAGCAAATCGCATCACACACAGGATGATATTATCAGCACAAGTCTTCAGACCAGAAAAAAATTTCGTGGCATACCCCTTCGGCAAGCGACAGCGAATACGAATACCCCTGGTATATTTAAAGCATTATAATCAACTACACAAAATCCCCTCACAGCCAAGATATATAAACCAAGTTTAGAACTCACCTAACATTCTCTAACTCCAAATATATCTGCTCCCACGTACTATTCATTCCCTCATCCTCGTCATAATTTCCAACACACATGAGACGACCAATCAAATCTACACAAAACAAACGACGACAATATCACGTTCACATGCAATATTTACTGAACATACCAAACAAAAGAGTTAAACTTACCAACACAAACACTTGGATCGACTAAACCAGCAAGAACATCTTCAAAACGTACAAACTTAAAATAGTCAACAGAAGCAGTAACCACAGTTCTCTGAAAAGAAGTCGATAGATTCCAAAGAATTTTATAGGCATGCCTAGTTGGCCTAACAGACCCAACAGCGTCGACCAAGCCAAAATCTTTTATAAATATCCACGTTCCTTCGACAAGTCTACTCGAATCATAAGCCAAACAATCCAAACCAATTGAAGCTTGTATCCTGTCACCCTAGAAACAACCGAACGAACGGTTAAAAAATCAAAACTCAGATAGAACATGTAGTAACGAATCATAAACGTTTATAGATTTTGCATGCTTTTAATATACAGGCTAGTATTAGCTCCAACGTGTCCAAACGTGAAGAGCAACGAAATCTTCTGAAGAGCAACGAAATCTTCTAATTATTATGAATCTTCCCATCATTCTTTCATTCATAGAAGGAATTTCGGGGACGAGCCATCTGAAGGCAAGGAAACACTTTAGTATAACAGAACCAACCGCAAAACTATATATATATATATATATATATATATATATATATATATATATAAAACAAAACGAATCCCCATCATATTGTTCGGAAAGATACAATAAGATATGAACTTATCACAGCAAAGGAATATTAACATTTAACAATAGAATAAAACATTTTTTTATTAAACAAAATAGATATTTCCATTAACTTTTCTATAACATTGCCAAACGAAAAACAGAAAATTTACATCCACAATAGAACGACATTATATTTGATCAAAATTTAAACTTACCTTAAGAATATTTTATATTTTTTGTAGTTGCCAATCGGAAAGATACAATAAGATATAAACTTATCAAAATGAAGGCATGTTAACATATAACTATTTAATCAAAAAATACCATAAAGGAATATATATACATTCCGATCAACTAATTTTATAGATAATTGCCAAATGGAAAAATATAAAATTTATATTCACAATGGAAACCAT